TGGGAGGTGTGAAGCTGAGAGGTGTGAAGTCCTGAGATGAAGGACAGGCAGTCCCTGAAGATGAAGGAGATTGCAGCAGGGGGGACGATGCTGTGGGAGGGGTGGGTGTTTGAGCAAACCTATTAAAATATCAGCTGTGGTTCACTTACTAAGATATAGCATTTTTGCTTATCAAAAGGCCAGTAAAGACAAATAAAACACCGAGATATGAGTGTGAACACGCTTTTTAGTTCGTTTGCTTTATTTTTGCTTTTGTTTGGTTTTTTTTAATCAAAAACCCAAGCACATGCCTTTTTGTGTGAGACTGTGTGATCTGAAATGAACTCTTTAGCTTTTAAGAAATTTTGAGTTAAAGAAAGTCCCAGCAGTATAACTACACACTGAGTACGGGTCTGGGGGTCATCTGACATTACGAATTTGAGTGTCGGACAGTTTGGTTTAGATTTTTAGATTGTACAGCTTTTATAGAATTATTCTCAGTTTTGCTTATTTAATAGCTTATAGGATAATGAGCTGTAGCCAATTTTGCTTCAGTTGTTTGGGGCAGTAACCCGTTTTAAGTGTGTTTCACATTTGGCTTAATTTTCTGGATTGGATTTTAAACCAATCTGAGTTTAAAGGGTTGTATGGATTTCAATCTAAAGATTCAAATCATATCACACACGCAGGTTGTTTTATTTTGTTGTTGTTGTTGTTGTTTTTTGTTTAGAAATGTGCATTGTTATTGAGGCTGACTAAAAGAGGGATTAATTGAGATTAATTGACAATATAGCATATAGATTGTGTATTTTATTGTATATTTATTGTTGATTTAGTGACTGTGTGTAGTGTATATTTTGAATTTATTATACACTTTGGTCAGCTGAGGTTGTTTTAATTGTGTTATCGAAATAAACTGACTTGACTAATATAACTAACTCATAATTGACGTAGATGTTAAGGGGTTGAAGAAAGCTCACTGACGTCGTTTCAGTCACCATGCCAGTGGAAAGCATTCTTTCCACAGCGAGTCATGTTGTAGGTTTTGGTTTAGTCTCTCTAGTTCTCATGAAAGAGTGGGATTGTTATCAGTAAAACGCATTACTGATTTTTATCATAGAAATCTGAATTCATTTAAAGCCAAATCTGAAATCTGTTTTGAATCTAAATCTCTCTTCTTCCTTTTTTCACTGTAGACGAGGTAAACGAGATGATAGATCCCCTCGGCAGCCAAAACGAAGGTAAAGTGTTCGTTATAACTCCCTAGTGCTTTTTTTTGTTGATGTTGTTATTTTTTTTAAAAAGAGCGTCCTTTTTAATTACTCTAGTCATTACAGTTCATAGCATACCACCACACACATACGTACCTAGGGGAGCAGGTGCATTACCCATAGGCTGGTGAGTGGGCCTGCTGCAGTGGCCCCATTCAAACTCTTGGGGGCTGCAGATGGTGCGGTTGTGCTGGTTCCACCTCTGTCTGCTTGTGGGTCCTGGGGTGCATTGTTGTGGCTTCCCTCCCCCATTATCAAGTACATTTATGACAAAGACACAGGCATTCCTACACACTCTCGCTCTGTCTCTCACACACACACTGTAAGAGGATTGTTGATTTATATATCTGTGTATTTTCTAATTTGTGTGTTACAGGTGCTGTGTGTTTGTTTTTTTCTTCATCATACCCCCCCTCCCTCTTCTTTGTAAAAAAATATTCTTTCCTGCCTGTCCTGCCTTATACATCATCATACTATACAACATATAAAGTAATAACTGAAGTAACACAAATATAAAATGAATAAGTAAACAGACAAAAGTTTCACATGAACAAGCAGAGCCTACAGAGATTCTGTATAGCTGTGTTTGCAAAAGCAAAATATGTTTGGCACCACAGTGCATTTAGATCATAATTCTGATTGCAAAAGCCACCAGATAGGACGGGATTTTATTGATTATACATTTATTTTTTCCCATCTTCACAGGAAAAAGCCACCGGTGCAGTACGTCCGCTGTGAAATAGAGGGCTGCGGTACTGTTTTGGCCCACCCACGCTATCTACAGGTCTGCTGTCACCAGGGGAACTGAAATGGATCGATTACTCTGTGATATTTGCCTTTTAACCAGTTTCATTTCTCCTCATCTCTTGATTTCAGCATCATATAAAGTACCAGCACTTGTTAAAAAAGAAGTACGTGTGTGATCACCCCTCATGTGGGCGCTTGTTTCGCCTGCAGAAGCAGCTGCTGCGCCACGCTAAACATCACACAGGTGATACAAAGATGTTTATACACAATGCTGGCAACAATTTTCATTAGACTAGGAAAAAGATGTAGTACCCACAAAGCAAAAAGATGTTTCATTTAAAACTCAATTATATTCTTTTTTTTCCATACTTAGTGTTCTTGTCTTCTTCACGTGTTTCTCTCAGATCAGAGGGACTACATCTGTGAGTATTGTGCTCGGGCCTTCAAGAGCTCCCATAATCTGGCTGTGCACAGGATGATCCACACAGGAGAGAAGCCAATACAGTGAGTTTATACATCTGATAATGTTACACAAGTAAACAAGGAAGAAATGAAATGAAAAACAAACAGTCATTTCTGAGTGTCTGACATAAGTTCCAGTAACAAAAGAAGGAAGCACGTCTTTAAAAAAGAAAAGTCTTGTATAACCCGACTGTGGGATCACATGTCTTAAAATTAGCTACAAGAATTTTTGGCAGACAAATGACCTCAATTGACATCAAGTGTTTAGATGGCTTTAAGCAAAACAGAATTCAGTTTTGCTTAAAGCCATCTATGTCATAGCACTCGCTAGTATAAACACGGCACACAAGTGTTTGTATTACACATGCAGAATATACTGCTGACTCGTTTCAGTTGAATGAAAACGTTTCAACCCCTCTTTACAAACAATGTATCAGCTGATGGGAGTGGTTGGATTATTATTGTTTCTTAATCATTAGTGCTATAGCTTTTTTTCAGCTGATCATCTTAGTGATACAGTATTCACTTATTTAAACGCCACTCAAAAGGATTTTAATTTCTCCCTAAGGCTCCCTGAAAACCTTTTTCTTTTCTCAGCAGGGAACAGAGTGCAAAGTTTACTGGTACAGTGTGGTAAATAAAATTCTAGGAAAATTATACTTTATTTAGTTTTTTATTTTGTAATGTTACACATTAGAGCCCAACTGATGTAGACGTTTTAAGAAGGGTACCAATGTTTGGTGATTTAAAAATACATTGTACTGGCTGATATTTTTTCAGACACAAGATATAGACAGATTTTTGTGACATTTGTTATTGTCAGTTATTTGAGAGTCCTTAGTAAGATATAAGAGAAGGTGTAGAGTGGCCTCAGGTGGTGAAACTATGCAACATCACTCACAGCATGGTTGAAGGTGTTTTTTCTTGTCTAATCTCTACTTCTTTAATTGTCTTTTATCAGTTGCTATAAACACGAGTATCGATATGTCAGTCAATTTCACACATGATTTTTACCTTAAAGGTCATAGGTCAGGTTTGTATAAATTAGGGTTTGTCTCGCATATTAAAAATGTTATGCATCCATTAAGGAGATTTTGGCCTCCCACCCAAAAACAAACAAACAAAAAAATCAAATACAAATATAGGAATATATTAAAACTATTTTTAATTTTTCAAGTATGGTTCAATTACTTAAACTTAAAATACATTTTTGTTTAATCATATGGCCAAAAGAAATGTGTAGACCTGTGTTACTAAAGTTGCTTAACCCTGTCTTGGTTTTGCTGAGTCTTTCCCAAAAGGAAGAACTCTTTATAAGGCAGTGTATCAATGACAGTAACAATCAAACATTTTGATTGTGATATTTCTTGTTTTTACATATTTTGCTGATACAAAATGTTGATCTTAAATGCTGATTTTTTTAATTGTAATAAAATCCATGCCTTTAAAAAAATGAACTGCTCTTCCTGTTCCACACAATAGTCCACATCCCAGCAAATAAATGACGTGTTTAACTTAATTCTACACAAAGAAATCTTCTCAGAAATTCAGAAGTACAACAAACTTTTCTTCTCGCTCATTCTCTGCAAGAGAAATCGAGGTCTTGCACACATTTCCATAAAGGTTCTCCAACCCTGTTCCAACAATACTTGTTTATACTTAAATTTGACATCTTTCCAGTGGAAGGTCTGAAATATTTTTCCTATTCACTCTGCAACATTTGGTCAGTGAGGGAATGTACTGGAATTCATTCGACTCTAATTTTAATTAAAATACATAAAACTTCTTTCACCGATTCTCGAAAAAAATCAACTAAAACTAAAGTGTCTTAAGTGAGGCTTGATCTCAGTGTGCGTTCAGACCTTAAGCTGTTTTTTGTCTCCATCTTGTGGCAGGTGTGAAATCTGCGGCTTCACCTGCCGTCAGAAGGCCTCCTTGAACTGGCACATGAAGAAGCATGACGCAGAAGCCTCCTACCAGTTCTCTTGCTCCATTTGTGGAAAAAAGTTTGAGAAAAAGGACTCTGTTGTTGCCCATAAAGCCAAGACCCACCCTGAGGTGCTCATAGCAGAAGCTTTAGCAGCCAACGGAGGAGAAGTAATAAGCACACCCACCCCAGTCCTCGAGACTCTTCCAGCAGTCATCCAGCCTGAGCAGCTTTCTGTCAGCCAGGAGAGCTGCTCAGTAATAAGCACTACCACCCCAGTCCTCGAGACAACTCCACTACTCACTAAGCCTGTGCAGCCGTCTGTTAGCCAGCAGAGCCACAAGGACCAAAAGAGTCAGGAGAGCCAGGAAGTGGCAAGCGGTGGGCTCACTCCACTGCAGCAGGTGGTGCTCCCAGTTGCTCCACAGTCTGAACAGGATGTATCTCAAGGACAGTTTCTCCAACTGCCCCGCATGGTGCAAGTTTCACATCAGCAGCAGGGCCCAACTTTGATGCACTTCTCCAGCACCAGCTACCCTCAGCTCATCCAGCTCTCCACTCTTCCAGTTAGTGCAGTCACATCCGTGGCTTGTGTGGAACCCCAGAGCACGCTCCTCACCCTGAGCTCCGTCACCACCCTGGCCTCCACAGCATCTGTGGCTCCCCAGCAGGCCGTGCACTGGGGGAGGGAGGGGGACGCGGATGCGCAAATTTGCGGAGAGGGTGATCTGTGGGAAAGGGTGGTGGTGGCAGGGGGCGGACAGGATGTAGGGGAAATGATGTGGGGGGGTAACGCGGAGAGGAGGAAGGAAAATGAAGGCACTGTTTGGGAGAGGGAGGGAGAGCGGATGTCACAGTGTGCAGATGTAGGTGGAGACAGTTTGATCTAGATGTAAAGATGGCGAAATGAACTGAAGGGCGACTTTATGTTAATGAAGGAAACGCACATTTTATTCCAATAAAACACTGAAACACTTGAAATGCATACATGATGGATATTTAAAACAATAGAAGCTGTCTTTGTGATCTATATACAGTCACTTTCAGTACAGAGCTACTTTGTATCAGGGAGTTGTTGTTTTTTTTAATTAATACGATGGATTACATACTTTTTGACCACCTAATATTTTATACATTTTGGAGTTTGTCGTGTAATTTCGAGATCAAATGATTGTACGTTATGCACAAGAAGATCACAGCTTATTTGTATTTCCTTGTAGTATTCCTGTTGTGTTGATGTGTGTCTTTTTGAATGGTGAACTAATGAGAATTACATGGTGCAATTAATCCTCAAACTATAAAAAACAACCATACCTGATTTCAGTTTGGTTGCTTGTCCTTTTAAGGGCAAAACCTTACAAATCACTGTGAGACTGAGCTTGGATCGCTCCTTGAAAGGCCCATTGTGACCATTTGTATTTGGAGAGTCTCAGGCATGGGGTTTGGACATTCATGGAGTTGTGCACCATAAATTCTTCCTACATGGGAAAAAAAAGAAATCATCTGGAGGCATCTGAGGGAAAACATTCAGCTTAAACGACCTAAATAATACAGTCGTCGCTTGCCACCTTCATCTTTTTCTCATTTTAACACTATCTCGATACATAAATGCACAAGTTCAAGTGGTCTGAACAGGACTTCCAGGGACTGATGTCAAAGTGACAGGACCCCAGGAAGAGACCCGGCACTTCATAAGGATCTGATGAGGCTGATATCAAAGCCAGCACATTTCGATTCCACCTTGTACTGATGTAACTGAGTTCATTTTCAAATCTGTTAACATGTCTCACTGCAGTCCTCGTGAGTTGGCATAGTAGGACAGTGGGTTATAAACCCAAGGCCAGAATCGGCCTGGGAAAGACTCCGGTGTAGCTTTGGAAAATGTGAAGGAGTGCTTAGATTTGTAACTATTAACTCTTTCATCAGGTAAACAGCTGTTCCTATTAACAAAAATATCCCTCATTGCCATTCATTCTACACCAAAGTAATTAAGTAATAGAGAGAATTTTTTTTACATTCCACAGTAAAAAAGTAAAAAGACTGGTGGAGTTTCCCTGATCTTGTTATTTGAGATCAAAGTGAACTGTATGTGGTCCACAATGTAAGCTGATGCTGTAGTGTATAAACGTTTCTGTTCTAGTGGCCCAGCCACTGTGACAGAGAGTTAGCGTGAACAACTCTGAAAACCACCTACGTTTGTTCTTCTCTTGCTCCTCTTCCTTCTCATATGTTGCAGTTTGTAAAGAAAAGATTTAAGTTGCTTTCTGTGCTTCATTATATTTCAGTAAACCAGGAGCATCACACTTGGGAAATAAACAGTTTTTCCAAATCTTCACGTTTTTCACAGGCAGCAGTATTATGTTAGGAAAATATGTTCCCTCTGAAATTAATTTGATCATTTTTGTGTTAAGTGGTTTTATCAGACCACTGTAATATGATACAAATTATATAAACCTCTGTATGTTGCTAATATTAGACATACAAGATAAGTTCAGAATGTGTTCAGAATAATTGTTAAAAATAAATCTGTTCTCAAGTCTTTATGTGTCACATGTCATTGATGTGATATAATTCACATTTCTTTCTTCTCCTTAGCCTCTCTTGTCTGGCAGTCTTTGCAGAAGTGTGATCTTAATGCACTGTTTTGTGATATTTACATGACAAAATTGTAATATAAATATGCCACTTTAAAGCACTAATTCAACCTCTGGACAGTTGGGCTCTAATGCGCCTGGTCTTTAAAGAAATAAAATGCAAAAGAGAATCAAGTTGTATATAGAAAGATAGTATAAATACAAAAAAATAGGAAAGATTGATAAGAGTCTGTGTTGCTAGGTTGCTCAGGGATCGGGCACACTTTTGAAGTGGAGCCACAACTTCCTGATTGGATTGAGAACCAGGCTAGAAAATATATCTTCTCTCCAGTCGTAGTTCTCCTGTGGATATAGAGTGTCCTCCAGGATCTGACCAAAGAACCCTCTTCCAATTAACTTCAGAGTCTCCGACATCCCTTTGAATGAATTCCAGGCAAGATTTCATGCAAGCTTTTTTCGGTTTTCTCTTTGTCACTCTCCCATCCTGGCAGACAGTTCTAATATGTACACTGTTTCCCATCAGATCCACTGAAGCTCTTTCAGTGTGTCACAGGTGTATTGGTGGCCTCTCTTATTCAGTTTGTGAGTGATTGCCAGATCTATGCAGATTTAGACTAAGTGCTATATTTCTTCCATTTCTTAAAGATGGATTTAACTGAACTCTGTGGGATGTCCAGTGAACTGGAAATCTTTTTGTAGCCATCTCTTGACTTCTGTGAGTTGCTTGGAGTCAGTTGTAGCAGGAATACTGATGAACCAGAGACTGGACCTCCGAGACAAAATGTTTTTACTACATGTCAAGTCAAAGTCAAAGTAAACTTTATTGCCATCTCTGCTATATACAGTTCAGTATATAGAGAGACGAGATGACGAGGCTCCATTTCCATACATTGCAAAAGAACAGCAATAAATATAGCAAGAGTAAGAATAAGAAGAATAAATATATATACACTTTGAGACTGAGGTAAGGGGAGTAAATATACACTTTGGTGTAAAGGGTTAACAGTCTAAAATTTACAATTGAGATTTAAAGTGACTTTGAAGTGGTTTAAAATGTCCAACATAGCAACTTTACGGTTTACAGTGTGAATACACATCAACTGTAGTCAGGTGGTCGCCGTTTCACTAGTTGTGACACTTCTGGAATCAATTAGATGTACCTCTGTTGAATTGATTGTTAATTTAAAAGATTCTCAAAGTCAGAATTTCTTCCCCACTTTAAGGCAGTCCTTCTTGGTATGGCTTCTTCCTTGCCAGTGCTTCCCCTGGTGGACACATTGTGCAATACATTTTATTTCTGTTCATTTTCATTTCTGTTTTAACAAATAATTTTATGCATTGATACCTAGAGACTAGCAGAGTAGAGCATCGGCTTAGCATATTATACTGAAAACTTGGGGTGTTCTTTTTATGATAATTTCTAACTGCTTAAGTATATTCTTCTGACTCTATTGGAGTAGTTTTTTGCGCAAATCAGTTCAAAACAGAGGTATGAGCTGTCACACAGGTCAGAAATCTTTAAATCATCCATCCAGGTGGTCATAGGAATAGGAATATCTATATTTTAAAGGGTTTTGCTCATTAGCAAATGTATTCAAGCGCTTTGCAACTTGTCCTTTTAATGTGTGCCTTTCTCTTGTTTTGTATATATTACTCTTGTTTGTTATTTATTTGTGTTGTCTTACTATTTATATGTCCTGTACAGTTTGTGTGGAGTACCCACAATGTTGTTGTACATGTACAATGACAATAAAGAGCTATTCTATTCTATTCTGCATATTTCTGGCTCTCTTCTGATCTCTGTCAGAGTAGTTTTGCATGAATTTTCATTTGAAAAATAAAATGAAATAAAATAAATAATTTCCTTATACTGGGTCTTAGGTCAACCTCTCAGTTAACTTAGAGCCTGAAATTAGCGTTCTTTCCTTTTAAGGCCCACTCCCTTTAAGCCAACGTTCTCCTGATAGGCTAACCCTCACAAACAGAAGGTTTCAATACTAGGTGGGTGGGGCCTCTGTGCTCACAGCCAAAGCTGTGTGTCTCAGATATTAGATGTTAGGCATATCCACTCTTTTTGACATCATACTGTGTTTAGTGCAGTCTGTAGCCAGGGATTTTCATACCCTGACTTCATTGTTTAACTCTGGTTGTGTTTGATATGTTCATCAACCACTGTCACAGTGGAAGAAAATGGGAAATAGGTGCAGTAATTTATTGAAATATCCAAATGTGCATGGTAATACAGCATATACAGCTAGGTCAATATATATTTAGACACTGCCTCAAGTTTTGTTTTGTTTTGTTATTTGTTTACTGAAACATATTCCAATTATAATTCTAGGATGGACATGGACATATTGTGTAGAATGTCAGCTTTCATTTGAATTGGATGAAGGGTTTAGAAGTTTCAGCTCCTTAACATGTGCCACCCTCTTTCGAAAAGGACCAAAAGTAAGGGGACATTGACTCAAAGGCTATTTAATGGGCAGGTGTGGGCAAATCCTTCATT